TGAGCCGCACCCACTACCAAACCTATGGGATGCCCCCCCCACAATACCCGGGGCCGCCTTAAATGCCGTGCCGCGAAAACATTCCCAGCAGGCTGAACTGACCCTGTGTGGCGATGGGGAGGCATCAGGCAGGGCCCCACGGCCCAGGAAAGCAAACTGCGTATACCCACTGACCACCTCTCAGAGATAGTATGGCTGCCGTGCAGACCCAGGAGGAAGGATAAATAGTAAGAGGGTCACCCAGATGGGTTTATCTAAAACACTCCAGCATCATGCTGTAATTTCCACTGCGCCTGCCTCTTTCTTTGAAACGTGGTGGGCCAAGGGCATATAAGTGTGGTTCCGCCTTTGCTCAGGGCTGCCCAGCAAGCTGTCAATGTGCACGGTATTGTTTGCACGCCTATAAAATTAGGTTGTATCTTCAAAGAGATTTGGTTGTTTCAAGCGAGCCAGGTTTTGGCCACAACACCCCGAATTCTTGCATGAAAGCTTCTTTCCGAACTCTGCGTGATCGCGCTTGGACAGCAGAGCACACATGTTCATCCTGTTCAGGACTAGCTCTTAAAAGGACCTTCTTGAATAGAGATAATGGAGAAAGGGGGCAAATCAGCTGGAGGTGGCTTTTCCGGAGAAGAGCTGGGCATCGTGCTGTCCCTGGGGGCCACCAGGACGGCCTTGCTAACAGCCCCCCTTCTCTCTGGCAGGTGTCTCCTCTGAGTTCATTGTGAAGACCCGAAATGCAGGTTCCGGTGCCCTTTCGGTCACCATCGACGGGCCCTCCAAGGTACAGATGGACTGCCAGGAGTGCCCCGAGGGCCACAAGATCACCTACATGCCCATGGCACCTGGAAGCTACCTCATTTCCATCAAGTACGGGGGCCCTCAGCACATCGTTGGCAGCCCCTTCAAAGCCAAGGTCACAGGTGAGTTGAGTTGCCCGACGGGGGTTTAAGGCCCTGCGGGGAGAGCTCGGACCCCCCTTGACTAGCGGGCATTCCCACCACCCCTGTCTCAGTTCTGGGTGAAGATGCTCAGTCTGTGCCCAGAGGAACATTGCTTTGCACATCCACAGCTCCGGGGTGAGAGGTGTGAGCCTCCAATGAATTGGCACCATTACTTTATGATTTACTGAACACGTTATACCAACACCTCTCAATGTCTTCCATGGCTATAAAAATATAAAACCAGGGATCCAAGAATTGGCATTATCATTACCAAGTGAAGTTTAGGGCACGCTGTCCTGGTGGCCGAGAGTGTGATTCGCACAAGGGGGAGACCGAGGGCTGAATTCACACAACATGTGTACTCAGGTCAGGGAAAGATGGATTCACACAACTCCCTAAGCTGGGTTCTGTTAGGTCTCCCTGTGGCTGAGCCTGTTGGGCCCACCTAACCTATTTCATTAATTTATAATTTAAAGTATTGTGCCAAGCCAGAAAATGAGTTAATACGGGAATCAGGTTGTGTGAATCTAATCCGGAATGGATATTTATTTATTTACTTATTATTAAGCTTGTATGCCACCCGACTCCCAAAGACACTATAATAAAACCAATTAAAAGGAAGGAAAAACCATGAAACCTGCCTTTGGTTCTTGATCCAATAAGTGACTCAGATCCCCTTATCCTGATCAGAGCCCTTCATAACGGTTGTGACATTTCTGTCCTGCTCTTCTCCAAAATACTGGGGTTTCTGTCCCTCCCCCTGGCCTCCCCTATTCTGATGACACCCCTGTGAGGTGGGCCAGCGGGCCTTAGTTCCCAGTGCTCCAAGGGCGGGGGCAGGATCCATCCGGGGGCCCCACCTGTGAAGAAAGCCAAGGCTGATGGTTCCCCCTTCCTCTCTGCCTTGCCAGGTCCCCGCCTGTCCGGTGGGCACAGCCTCCACGAGACATCCACGGTGCTGGTGGAGACGGTCACCAAATCCTCCTCCTCGGTGGGTGGCAGCTACAGCGCCCTGCCCAAGTTCTCCTCCGATGCCAGCAAGGTGGTCGCCCGGGGGCCTGGGCTGACCAAGGCCTTTGTGGGGCAGAAGAATACCTTCACAGTGGACTGCAGCAAAGCAGGTGGGCATCGCGGCCCCAGGCGGTGCCGAGGG